TGTTGTTTTGAGTAAAAATGGAGATATCAAATAAGTTTTTAGTTTCAGTTTTTTGATTCAAGTGTTTTTTTTTTTTGAATGAATTTCTTTGTTATCAATATATATATATATACTAATTAATCAAATAGATATATTTTTATTTTACGCAATATATATACTAATTAGCTACGTCAATTTGCTTAACATGTAAGGACTTTCTTCTGTCTCATGTGTTCTATGAACTATACATATCTTTAGGTTATAAAATTGGTACGATTACTAAATAGCCCTCAAGTTGTATCGACCAACACAACTCAAATAGATAAAATCATTTGTTTATTCCTCGAATAGATTGTTGACTCTTGCTTCCTTCTTAATTTTTTCTTTTCCTTTTCTCTCTCTCTCTCTTCTCTTTCTCCTGATTTGTTCTTCTTCATCTTTCTTTGGTCTTGCAAAGATCTAAAAAACCCTAGAACGGGAAAGATCACCAAGATCTAGAGAAAGATCAAAATAGGGTTAAAATTGATGGGGAGAGGGAAGACTGTGATCCAGAAGATCGATGATTCAACGAGTAGGCAAGTCACTTTCTCCAAAAGAAGAAAGGGTCTCATCAAGAAAGCTAAAGAACTCGCTATTCTCTGCGACGCTGAGGTCTGTCTCATCATTTTCTCTAGTACCGACAAGCTCTATGACTTTGCCAGCTCCAGGTTTCTATCTTCCTTTCTCAAATCCCTAGATCTTTTAACATCCACATACCTATAGGTATACTTATATAATATCATGTATGGGTTTTTCTTAGAAGGGTTGGATTAACTCAATGATTTGTGTTTAATTGTGTGAATTACTCATTTATAGTATACATACTTCTGCATCTTGTATCGATATAACGTTTTATATTTCAGTATATATACAAGGTGGTGTATGTATGTGTAGCTCATAAAACTTAATATTTTCAAAGGAAGCTTAGTTTGAGCTTAGGATGCCAAAGAAAAACTAATTAGAGACGATGACTAATTTTAAAGAAGAAGAAAACACTAATTTGAAGTAGGCTCATGGTTTATTGTCTGTGTGTGTGTGTGGACATGTGTGTCTTTGCCAAATTTAGAAACATTTGAGGAGTAGAGGAGATAGTAATAAAAGCTAGAAACAAATAAAACGTTGGAAAACTAAAAGAGTGATAGATGGAGTGTATAAATCTCAATAGTTTGTAAAACAAAAATACATTTGGAGATGATATGTAAAATGATAATTTATTACTCATATAGCTGTATATATGAATATAAATCTCAATATTTTGTGTATATAAAACTACACCAGAACGAGACTCTGTATTTCTAATCTTATCTTTGTAAAATTTATCACAAAAAAATTTCATTTATAAGAAAACAAACTCTTTATTTACAGGTTTCGGATTTTCCAAATGTGAATCATATATTCATATTTATTTTTGAAGATCAAATTTTCTCGTAAATTTTCTCGTATGTAAAAGAATCTTGTATATATATATATGGAACTTAACTTATCGTGAATACCATTTATGAATGATAAATGCCTGACCTTTTTAAATTATCATGAATATCATTTTTTTCTTATGTGATAAAAATCTTAAACCTTTTTAGATAATTTTAGAGATTGTGAAAATTTATCGAGGAAGTGAAGGATTTTTTTTTTATTAGCAATGGAAATAGAAATATTATTTTCCTAAAAGGAAACAAACTGCACTATGAACTATTTGTAAGTTAAAAATCTTGGAATGAGCAGTGTGAAATCTACTATTGAACGATTCAATGCGACCAAGATGGAGCAGCAACAACTACTCAACCCTGCATCAGAAGTTAAGGTATGTACGTGTAACAGATATCACACATCACATATATAAGATCTTAATCATGTTTGTATTATTTAATTTCTTGAGTTTGAGCTAGAGTTGATGAGTTAGATTGTGTTGCTTATTGTAGTTTTGGCAGAGAGAGGCTGAAACTCTAAGGCAAGAATTGCACTCGCTGCAAGAAAATCATCGGTACGTATTTGCTTATAAACTAAAAAAACTTTTAATTATAATCATGCGTTAATTCAATACTACGAAATACTTAGTGAATTACCTAGTGAACTAATTGTATATTATATACTATTCTTGATCTTTTCTCACTTAATTTCTAACTAAAACTTTTCTCTCTTTTAATTATTTTTGCTTAAAATTAATGTTCAGCTAAAATTTTGCGGATTAATTATATATATATATATATATATATATATATATTCTTCTTCTTAGAGTTACTTTTTGTGATAATATTCTTATATACATTTAGAAAAAAACCGCCAGTTACATATATAGGTAACAAAATGGATGTTATAAATGCCCCTAATAATTTTTTTTTTTAATGCATATATATGTTATCGGCTAGATTGGAGAAAACGGCTCATTAATCGTCGTAAGACTGCACCACTGAGAGAAAATCTGTGCAATTGAGATATCTTATTGGATAGATTGGAGAAAATGCTTTTTTTTCTGTCGGCATGGGTCACTTATGGGATTAGTCGGGTGGATTTGGTTGTACTTGACAATGTTTGTTCTATGTATATATATTAACTGCAGTAATCTTATGTAATAAAGCAGGCAACTAACGGGAGAGCAATTAAATGGTTTGAGCGTTACGGAGTTACGCAATCTCGAGAGCAACCTTGAAATGAGTTTACGTGGAATTCGTATGGAAAGAGTAATATTTATACATATATGAATACTCTAGCTCGTTCGTCTTGGAGCATGATGCTTAAAGATTGATTATATATAGAGCAATGAAATTTAAACTACTACCTTTTTTTGCACCTTGCAGGAACATCTTTTGACCAATGAAATCCAAGAACTAACCAGAAAGGTATACTATATGATATACACATGATTATGAATAATCAAACTCAGATGTGAAATAAAATTTAGTTTTTTCTTTCATAAAAATAATTCCTTGCATATGTGAAATGCAAATGATATACATGTCTTCTTTCTTCTTCGGTTCGTGATTGCATTTGCAATTTACGGAAAATCTGTTCTTTGAGGAAAGATACTAAAGATGTTGTGTTTAACTTTGAATGCACATGTAAATGTAAAACGCATAATCAGTGTTATCATTTCTGATTTTTCATGTTTTTTATAAGTGTTTTATCTTTTGCAGAGGAGTCTTCTTCATCATGAAAACCTCGAGTTGTCGAGAAAAGTACAAAGAATTCATCAAGAAAATGTCGACCTATACAAGAAGGTAACAAAGAAACACAAACTTTATTACTTCAAGTTCCAGCTAATTAATCCTTTAATCAAAATCTCCTAGTTGAAAGTAGAGAAATTATAGAGAGTAGTTACAAAAGTGGTAATGTGGAATGATCTTGCAGGCTTATGCAACGTCAAACACAAACGGATTGGGACACCATGAGCTAGTAGATGAAGCCGATGAATCACATGCAGTGGTTAGGCTGCAGCTAAACCAGCCGGAGCAGTCCCATTATGAGACTTCTTCAAACAGCTAAGATCATAAAAGATATAACAACTTGTTCGTTCTTGATTATCTCAAAACCCTTTCAAATATACATACGTATTACATATATAGAAAGAGGGACAACTTGTGTAACCATGTCAATATATGTTTTCATGCAGGAGAAAGTGCGGGGCTAATCAGGAGAGCAAACCAAAGGTTTGATTTTGTACGATATATATGGTCTCAAGTGAAAGCAATGGAACAGGCTTCTTGATTATATTATTTTTAGCTTTCGCATTTGGTTTAAAGTATATAATTAATAAGATATATACGAAATAAGTAAAGATATATATTACCTAAAGTAAAATTGAATTTGATGATATAGGTCGGTATGGTATGAGTTTTTTGTTTGTTTGTCAACAATACACATTATACGGATTTTAATCTGGGTGGTGACACAACAACAACACTAACATAAACAATTAGTCTACATGTCATGGTCGGTTTCAGGTAAAAAAAAAAACCCAAAAAATGAGATGTGTATGAAATTATAATATATCAAAACGATGCAAAAAATCTCCTCAAAATTAACGATGTTACATGACTAAACTTATGCAAAATGCATCCTTTAACATATCCCTTTCAAAGATGTTTTTGGTCGTATTAAAAAACAAAAACAAAGTAAAAAGAGTTTCAGATGAATCAATCTAAGAGGAGGATAAGTAAAAAGAAACCCTAAATTTCCTTCTGGTTATGTTCTCATTTTCCTCTACATCGGATCTTCTTAAAGAAAATATATGTAGATCTCTCACCGGTTGTACGACACATGCATGATTTATATGGTTCAAATATTTAGTCTAGAATTTAGTTTTTTTTTTTTAAGTTTTCTTGGTTTGAATAATGTATTTAGATTTTTTTTTTAATAGTGGTTTGATTTAGGATTCAAATTTGATTATAAACATAGTCCACTCTATTAATAATATTATATACTATTGTCCCATTTTCTGCATACAGTAATTCATTTTTAGTGTACAAAAATGTCGGTCCGATTGGTCCGGTTAACTGCTAATTGAACAACCTTTGAATGTTGTATGGACAATGAGTTATGCCTCATCGGTAATATATAGTCACAACTTAAAATTAAGGGAGAAATATAGTGTTACAAACAATGAGCAAAACAAAGACTTGAATTCAAAGATTAAAGATTGGTTGTAATAGTATTTCTTTTTCTTCTTTTTTGGTTGTAATAGTATGAAAATGTACGAAGAACCAAGAATTGCTCAATCTTTAATTGATAGTGACATTTGAATAGAATGATAAAGATTGGACACTAACTACGCAATCAACAAAAACATTATACTATCAAATATCAGAATTACAATTTAGCCCCTTTATTTTCTCTTTCTCTCATAAAACACCCGTTTCTTCTTCTAATCTTCTACTTCTTTATCTTCTTCATCAAATCACACATCACCTAAAAGAAAACAACCTACGAGTAAAAGGACGATAAAATTCAGAATCTTTTTCTCTGAGAAACAAAAAAAGGAAGGTGACCCTCGTTCTCTAATCGATTGCTCAATCATTTTGTTGTTGGATTGAATCGAAAAGTGGGTAAATTTAAAAAAGCTGCAGAATTTGAAATCTGTGAGTTTTGGGGGTTTAATAATGGCGAAAGCAGGAGGGATCACGAACGCAGTGAACGTAGGAATCGCTGTTCAAGCTGATTGGGAGAATCGAGAATTTATCTCACATATCTCTCTTAATGTTCGTCGTCTCTTTGAATTCCTAGTCCAATTTGGTAAACCTCACTCTCTCGCTGATTTCTCTGTTTTGGGTTTCGAATTCTTCGTCCAATTTGGGAGTTTTTGACTTTTTTCGATTTGGTCTATCCTAAAATTAGAAACCTTTTTTAGGGTTTTGTCAAAGAAAGGTTTTTGATGATTGGGAGATTTGAATTTGGTGGTGGGTTAGTTGAAAAGTTTCAGCATTTTATGTTGAGATTATCAGATTTGATACAATTTCGCTTTGGGCGTTATCTTGTTGTGATCCTTTGACTTTTATGTTCTTAGATCCAGGGGCTGAGAGAGAGTAAGAGGTCTTTGTAATGATCTCTTTGTTCTTCTCAATGTGTTGTTGAAACTTTCTGTTTTTGAGCTGAATTGAGTATCGAAGTCATTAATGTCTGTGTGTGTGTGTGTGTTTTCAGAATCGACCACAAAGAGCAAGTTGGCTTCTTTGAATGAGAAGTTGGATCTGTTGGAACGTCGCTTGGAAATGCTGGAAGTGCAAGTGAGTACCGCGACAGCTAATCCTTCTCTGTTTGCGACGTGAAACACGCATAGCCAATATCCAAAATCGAAACCGAGTCTGAGAACACTCATCGTTTGTTGAATGTGTACCATTGAATGATTCTTTCTTTCTTCACATAGCTGTAGTAGTAAGTAAACTAGTAGCTTAAAATATGAGTCACATTCATAAAATCTGTGTATCTTTTGTCTGTCCATTAAGATCTCTTTTGAATGACAAAATCATTTCATTAAACTCTTGGAGTTTTGCTTCCTTCTGCTATTGATTTATAAACTTTGCGAGGTACCCTTTTTCATCTTCTATGCATCTGATTCGTATATTCGTCTTTTCTCTTAAAGTGGAGCACATGTAAAACCCTCTTGTTACCCTTTTTTACTTTTTCATCAATGGAGGAAGAAGGAACCTAAAAAGCTCGTATATCTCTTTTTCTCCATTAGATTCTGTTTGCATTTGTGACTCGCATTGTTTTTCTGAGTTAAACTCGGATTCATCGAGACCGACCCTATCAACTCCACCCGTAGGCACTTCGAGATCACCCCAAGGATGCCTTCGGTATCAAGGGGTTGCAGACCAACCATAGAACCAAGCCATATCAAGGGGTTGCAGACCAACCATAGAACCAAGCCATTGTTGATGACAATTATACTGTTTTCCGGTACCTAAACCACAAAGTTGTGTAGACTATGGATCATTGACCATTTTTAAAAACATATTCTGAACTCAGTTATTGTTTTTCCTGAATTGAATTTGCTGTGTCTGAACAATGGCTGAAGAAGTCATTGAATAGATCAAAACCAAGCTTGAAGCTGCAAACAAGTCTGTCAAAGACTGGCTACCTACCTATGGTCTAAAGGATCCTCTGATTCATCTAGAGGGTCTTCTTCTCAGGGACAAAGATCGGTTTAGATCGGTACAAATAAAATTTTCTAAATTGGATTCTGAATGTGAGAGACTGTTTATCACCAAACACATTTGAGACTATGAAATTTAAAGAAAATTTGCAATAATGATCGAAACCGGTATGGTTAAAGCCGGTTTAGTACATTGGATTCGATTATCAGATGCGTATACTACACGTTAAAAGTAGTAGTTGGTTTATTCGGCCTTTCTCCAATTAGTTTAAAAAAAAAAACCTCTCTCTTCTCTCTCTTCTCTCTCTTACTAGCTCAATTCGATTTTGTGAAATTCTCATCGTTGCCGTCCCGAATTCACTTGGGCTTAAGAACATCTCTCTCAATAAATCTTCTACTGAGCAGAGCCTTTGTCCGAAGATCTTTTCGTTTTCTGTCGGCGCAGTTCACAAGTTTCTCTTTTGCAAATTCGGTGCTTTTCATCTTTGCTGCTCGTTTGTTATCCTCAATCCAATCCCTCTGTTGTGTACTGGTGTTCCTTGCGGTTTGTTGTGGGTGTTTATAGTTTGCTAATGGATCTGGATAAAGCTATTCAGCAGATGTCTATCTCTGATGATAAACCTCTAATCCTTTCTAATCAACCTCAGTTCTGTTCTAATGAGAGAAATTGTTGCAGTCTCTTAGGGCGCTTCTTGAATCCTGAGAACCAAAGGATGTCTAATTGGATATTAGACATGCCAAGAATTTGGAGACTTAATAATCGGGTTCGTGGTGTGGCTCTTTCTAAAGATAGGTTCCAATTTTTCTTCAAGACAGAGGATGATTTAGAAGAAATCTTGAAAGTTGGTGTTTGGACTCAGGATGACTGGTGTGTTGTAATGGAAAGATGGATTGAAAAACCACCAGATGATTATCTTTGGTACCTTCCAATCTGGATACGTCTGAGAAATATTCCGGTGAATTATTACACCAAAGAAACGATTTCAGAAATTGCGGAGTGTGTTGGGGAAGTTCTGGAAGTCGTTTTTGATTCTGAAAAATCAAGGGTTCAAGACTATGTTCGGGTTCGTGTTCTGTTTCATGTTTCGAAGCCTTTACGCAACTCGAAAGAGGTTCAGTTACCAACAGGGGAAGTGGTTCTCATCACTTTTGATTATGAAAGGATTCGGAAGAGATGTTTTCAGTGCCAACGCTTAACACATGACAAAAATAGATGTCCCTTCAAGATGGAGAATTCTACTATAATTTCTGATAGGATTTTGCAAGATAAAGGTAAACAGAAGGAGGTCCTACTGAAGGATCTTGATCTTATCATCTCCAAGCCTGCTGGTTCAGGTTTTATGGCAGATGCTAGGAAAGGATTGGCAAGTTCAAGCATGATGCTTGCTTCGGGGAATCAATTTGATGATTTATCAGATGGGATGCCAGATTTGGATGTTTTAACTGGCTTTAGCTCAGGTTGTTGTGAAGCCAGTACTTCAGGTACAAGCTTTAAGACTCACAAAATGAAGAAACCTATTTCATCTTGGTCAAGAAAAGGTAAATCAGGCAAGGAACTTCCTTTGAAGGATAAGGTTAGTCAAGATCATTCTAAAGAGCAGTTTGATAGAGTTTTCAAACGAAAGGCACAGTCCTCTGATTCTTCTGATTCTAAGTGCTTCAAGAGAGATAATACTACGGTGGTTCATGGTGAACCACCGTTGGATCAGTAGGGCGTCCTAAGCTGGAATTGTCAAGGGTTGAGGAATCCCTGGACAATTCGATACCTTAAGGAAATGAAAAAGGATCATTTTCCTGATATTCTATTCCTCATGGAAACCATGAATTCTTCAGAGTTTGTATCAAAAGTTTTCAGATGGCTTGGTTATGATCATATGCATACTATAGATCCTGAGGGAAGAAGTGGTGGTCTGGCAATCTTTTGGAAAAGTCATATGGAGATTGAATTCCTTTTTGAAGACAAAAACCTTTTGGACCTTCAGGTTTCTCAAAGAAATAAGGTTTGGTTTCTCTCTTGTATTTATGGTCATCCAGTGACTACTCATAGGCCTGAACTATGGGATAGACTTAGTAGTATTGGTCTGCAGAGAAAGAAGGCTTGGTGTATGATCGGAGACTTTAATGATATTAGGTCTAACAGTGAAAAATTAGGAGGTCCAAGTCGCTTAATTTCCTCTTTTCAACCTTTCCAAGATATGTTGATGAATTGTGATATGCATGAATTAGGTAGTTCAGGAAATGGTTTTACTTGGGGAGGAAATAGAAATGATCAATGGATTCAGTGTAGACTAGACAGAAGTTTTGGGAATTCAGCTTGGTTCTCTCTGTTTCCAAACTCACACCAATGGTTTCTGGAAAGTTTTGGATCTGATCATCGTCCTGTGTTGGTCAAATTCATCAATGATCATGAATTATTTCGTGGTCAATTTAGATTTGACAAACGAATGGCTGATAATCCTGCTTGCAAGGATACTATTTCAAGATCTTGGAGTAGTAAACTATCTCAAGGTACTAATTCTTCCCTTTTTAGTCTTGTGGAATGTAGAAGAGCTATCAGTGTGTGGAAACAATCATCTGATAGTAATGCTCAAAGAAGAATTCTGAGATTAAGAAAAGAACTGGATGAACAGAAGAGTGCTTATAATCCTTGTTGGCCTAGAATTGCTTCCATAAAAGATCAATTAGCAATTGCTTATGGGGAAGAAGAAACTTTTTGGAGACAGAAAAGTAGACACAAATGGTTAGTAGGAGGTGATCGTAATACTGGTTTCTTTCATGCTACTGTGAAAGCCAATAGAACTGGAAATGCTCTAAGTTTTCTGTTGGATGAGCATGGAAAGGAGCATACTAGGAATAGTGATAAAGGAAAAGTGGCTGCTTCCTATTTTGAAAACCTGTTCTCATCTTCTTGTCCAGAAGCTTTAACTGATTATTTGGAAGGTTTTCAAGCTAGAGTTTCAACAATCATGAATCAAGATTTAACCAAAATTGTTACTGAAGAAGAAGTTCATAAAGCAGTTTTGTCTATTAATAGTGAAAGTGCTCCTGGTCCAGATGGTTTTACTGCATTGTTCTTTCAACAAAATTGGGCTCTGGTGAAGACTCAAATCCTTCAGGAAATCTTTGGTTTTTTTCAGAACGGTGTTTTACCTCAGGAATGGAACCATTCTCTGATTTGTCTTATTCCCAAGATCACTAAACCTCAGAGAATGTCAGATCTCCGGCCAATTAGTTTATGCTCTGTCTTATATAAGATTATAGCCAAGATTTTGACTGCCAGATTGAAAAAACATCTTCCGGCTATAGTATCTCCCACTCAGTCGGCGTTTGTTCCTGATAGACTAGTCTCTGACAATATTCTTGTTGCTCACGAGATTATCCATAGTCTGAGAACCAATGAGAAAATCTCCAAGGAATATATGGCTTTCAAGACTGATATGTCTAAAGCATATGATAGAGTAGAATGGTCTTTTTTGGAAGGTATGATGGTTGCTCTTGGTTTCAATAGGAAATGGATTTCTTGGATCATGGCTTGTGTCTCATCTGTTTCTTACTCTGTTCTAATTAATGGTCAGCCTTATGGTCACATCATTCCAGGAAGAGGCATAAGACAAGGTGATCCTCTATCACCTTCTCTGTTTGTGCTTTGTACTGAAGCTTTAATTCATATCCTTAATCAGGCTGAAAGAAGTGGAAAAATCTCTGGTTTTCAGTTTCAACCTGATGGAGTATCAGTGAACCATTTGTTATTTGCTGATGATACTCTCCTTTTATGCAAGGCTACAAAAGAGGAATGTGAGGAAATGCTGAAATGTCTATCTACTTATGGTCTTGTTTCAGGTCAATTGATCAATCTAGATAAATCTGCAATAACATTTGGGAAAAGAATAGATGAAGGAATCAAGAGTTGGATTAAAGAGAAATCTGGAATTCAGCTAGAAGGTGGTACTGGGAAGTATCTTGGATTACCAGAGTGCTTAAGTGGTTCAAAAAAAGAATTGTTTGGTTTCATTAAGGAAAGACTGCAGTCAAAATTGACAGGTTGGTATGCTAAGACATTATCTCAAGGAGGCAAGGAGATTTTACTGAAATCTATTGCTTTGGCTCTACCTGTCTATGCAATGACGTGTTTCAAACTTCCTATTTTTCTGTGCAAAAAATTGACTGCTGTTATGATGGACTTTTGGTGGAACAATTTGCAAAACTCCAGGAAAATTCATTGGGTTGGCTGGCAAAGATTAACTCTACCAAAGTTGCAAGGTGGTATTGGCTTTAAAGACCTTCAATGCTTCAATCAAGCCTTGCTAGCAAAACAGGCCTGGAGATTGGTACATGAGAAAGATAGTCTCTTCTTTAAGGTTTTTAAAAGCAGGTATTTTCTGAATTGTGATTTCCTTAATGCTACCAATGGAACTAGGCCTTCTTATGCTTGGAGGAGTATTTTATTTGGTAGAGAATTACTACAAGCAGGTCTCAGAACAGTCATTGGTAATGGGAAGCAAACTTATGTGTGGATTGATAAATGGGTTTATGATGGGCAAAATAGACGGCCAATGAATAAGCAGAGATTAGTTGATATCAACCTAAAAGTGAGTCATTTGATTGATCCTTTTTCAAGAAACTGGAACCTTAACATGTTAAGGGATTTGTTTCCCTGGAAGGATATCAGAAGTATCCTCAATCAAAGACATGTGACTTCTAGAGAAGATTCTGTTTGTTGGTCTTACTCCACTGATGGATTATACTCAGTCAAGTCTGGTTATGAGTTCATTAGTAGGAAGATTCATCACAAGCTTTTTAAAGATTCTGAATTTGAGCCATCTTTTAATCCTTTGTTTACCAAGATTTGGAGTTTGCACACTGCACCAAAAATTAAAATCTTTCTTTGGAAGATTTTAAACGGAGCTGTTGCTGTGGAAGATAGGCTTAGGACTCGAGGTATTAAAATAGCAGATGGTTGTCTGATGTGTGAAGAAGATCAAGAAACCATTAACCATATTTTGTTTCAATGTCCCTTAGCTCGTCAGGTTTGGGCATTGTCTACTGTTCCTACCTCAGGAAATGGTTATGGTGGTTCTATTTATGCAAACTTGAATCATTTATTGGACATTACTCAAAATCAAGATCTTCCTAGCTTGCTGAAAAATGTGAGTCCTTGGATTCTCTGGGTTTTGTGGAAAAACAGAAACAAAATCCTTTTTGAAGGAACAGGTTCTGTGACAAATTCTATCGTTGACAAAGCTTTTGAGGATTGTCATGAATGGTGTATAGCTCAGGAAAACAATGCAAGGATTCTCAAGGATATAAGTCTTACACAATGGAAACCCCCAATCCATGGAGAGCTAAAATGCAACATAGGCTATGCTTGGTCTAAGAGGAATCTTTTTTCAGGAGCATCTTGGGTGGTTCGTGATTCTGCTGGCTCAGTTTTATTACATAGTAGAAGATCTTTTGCTCAGGTATATTCTTTATCTGATGCTAAGTTAAAAAGTTGGGAGTGGGCTATAGCTAGCATGGATCATCATCATCTTGATAAAGTCACCTTTGCTGCTTCTTCTTATGAAATTATCAAGGCTTTGCATAAGCCAAAAGACTGGCCTATCCTATCTGGTCATATCTATGAGATGTTGACTTTCACTAAGCAAAAACCCTATTGGTTTCTTCTCATGGAAGCACCTCACTGCAACAAAGGAGCTATGGAAATTGCCACAAGTGTGATTACAGGGAACAGATTTCAATCCTACGTGGCTAGAGGTTATCCTCTTTGGTTAAAAAAACTTTTTGAGGAAGAAAGAGTTAAGTAAGTTAGAGATTGGGATTGGTCTTTTAGTTTGTCTTTTTCTTCTTTTAGGGTCGGTTAGCTTTCTTTTCTCTAATATTATCTCTAGTTTTGTCCTTCTCCTTTTTTGTTGTCTTCTGTTTATTAATTTTTACTTAATCTCCTCTTTTTACGATTTTCCTCTTTTCAATTTTCTTTCCTTATCCTCCTTGGTCAAAGTTTCTTTTCTTTCTTTTCTTTCTTTATTGAGTCTCTTGTTTCCTTGTCCTCCTCTTCTATATATACGTGGTTTTTTCATTTAGTTCTTTATCCCAATCTCTTTTATTTCTCTTCCTTTTCACATTATGGCAGATGAGCTTTGGGATGAGTTGCAGAATATGGCTCTAGGAAGGGAGGAGCCAGAGTTGTTTATTCCACAAGAAGCCTATGCATCAGTTGAAGCAAGGAATCTTCTTAGCTTAATTGCAAGGCCTTTTAATCCGCGGGTTCAAAATCTTAACTCTGTCATTGCTGCTTTACCAAGAACCTGGGGACTGACTACTCGTGTTCATGGTAGAATTCTCGATGCTACCTATGTTCAGTTTCTCTTCCAAACTGAGGTTGACATGTTAACAGTGCAAAGAAGGGAACCCTGGTTATTTAACAACTGGTTCATCGCATCTCAGAGATGGGAAGCTTTCCCGGCTGTGAATTTCCTGACTACTATTGACCTATGGGTCCAGATGCGTGGAATTCCTCTTCTTTATGTTTGTGAAGAGACTGCTGTGGAGATTGCTCAGGATCTTGGTGAGATCATCACACTGGACTATCATGATGCTACTACAACTCAAATTGCTTATATCAGAGTTAGAATTCGCTTTGGCATCACTGACAGGTTAAGGTTTTTTCAAAGAATTACGTTTGATTCTGGTGAAACTGCCTTGATTCGTTTTCAGTATGAAAGGTTAAGGCGAATATGTAGT